CGGTTGAAGTATTCAAATTTATTACGATGATGCTCCATGTACTAATTAATGTACTAACTAATATACTAATACTAGTTATGACATTATTGTTGACCACACTAATTAATTACATTATGAATATTAAAAATTTCTTAAATTATATCACATCATCAATTGATATACTAATTAATATATATATCATTATTCAATTTATTGCGGTCTATATTCAGGTAGTTTTACTGACTACTATGCAGTATTAATGTTTGGTAAGTACTATTAATGATGGAGTTGCAGTTTTTTCAAATCTAAATCTGACCGTCAGAGAATTTAAGGGATTAGAAGGTTAATTATGCATGTTGTTTTAATAATTTAAATTGTTTATTTTATAAAAATATTTATATATATCATTAAGGAGAAAATTATATTAATTTGATAATTATAATATTTTTATTTTATTATGTTTGTCTAAAAAAATTACTTAAAAAAATACTTACTATATATTTTTTCAAAAAATGTTTTTTTTTCTTTTTTGAGAAACAACAAAAAAAAATGAAAGGCTTGACTTATCTCCAGCTGTCATCTCAACTTAAGAGATCGTTTGGATTTGGTAGCTCCATTTTGAACCGATTTCAGTGATTCAAACTGTTTACTTTTTAAGACTTATTGAGAAAAATATTCATACAAAAAATAAGATAATTGGACATAGGCAGCTACATGTTTAAGTCATATTTATTTTTAAAAAATAGACAACAAATATAATTTTAAGAATAGCCATCTATTTTTTATAATAAAATTTAATTCAAACATATAGTTATCGATATCTAATCATCTTAATTTTTTATACGAATATTTTACTTAATAAATCTTAAAAAATAAACGATTCAGATCATTAAAATTAATTCTAAAATAGACTGATTAAACCTAAATATTCTCTTAAATTGAGATAACCAACTTTGAAAAAAAGTTAAAACCAAAAATGAATGTTTAAGATTGGTTTTTTTAGAACAAGGAAAGTTTGTTGTATGAGCATTTAGTAAGTAGCTGAGCAATAAATACATACAATTTAATGAGGGGAGGCCATTAAATCCCAAACCACCCTTAATTAGGAAAAAAAAAATTGAAAAATGCACTTATTTATAAAAATTTCAAACAAAAATTTTTTTTTACACATCTTTTTATAAAAGCAAAAAAATACACTTATTTAAAACATCCAAACCACCCCTTAATTAGTGTTCAGTACTGTATTTAAGTACAGATTCTTAAGCTGAGTTATCTAGACCGGTGGTGCTAAATGCACCAATTAGTATACTAACTAGTTTACCAATACTAATTATGACATTATTATTGACCACACTCATTATATAAATTACAAATACCAAAAATTTCTTAAATTATGCAACATCATCTATTTGAATACTAGTTAATATACTAATTGATAAATATAATATTATTCTATTTGGACTCACGTGACTCCAACTTTATCTTGACGATTTATTTGTTTATTTTTAAAATTGTTTTGAGTATTAATTTTTTTATAGTGATTTTTGATTAAAACAATCAAGTTGCAAAAATATGCCTTAGGCCTTGTTTGGCAACAAGCCGGTTTAGTTAAAAAGTCAAAAAATTATTAAAAAGTCAAAAAGTTAACAACTCATATAAAAAAGTCAAAGATTCTCTTTTCTCTCTACTTTTTGCACATCTTTTCCTAAAAAATCAAAAAGTCATCCCAAACATACTAGTTTTTTTTAACTCATATTTTAACCAAATAGTCAAAAAGTAACTAAATTAACATGTTCCCAAACGAGGCCTAGATAGATTTATATAAAAGAATTAAATTAATTTAATAATCATAATAAAATTATATAATTATAATTAATATAATTTTTTATTTATAAATAATATGCATATAAAAATTAAAACATAAACAATAAACAATAAACAATTTAAAACATCAAAATAAAAATAAAATACATAACGGGACTTCACGGATTTGAACATCATCGTTCAAATCACACAATAAAATGTAGCAAAAATGCCTCATACACCCACTGGGGGTCGACCCCCAGTGAGGTGGCACTCCATTATTGGCCAAAAAAAAATTATTTGTTTGTTTGTTTTTTTTTTTTTTTTTTTTTAAGTTTCAACCAATGGGGGCGCGACACCTCACTGGGGGTGCGACCCCCACTGGGGGTATGCAGCACTGCTGCAAACATAAATATATTTAGGGAGCACTAATTAGTGCTCCCACTAATTAGGTGACAGTGGGTCCCGCCATTAATGATGTGATGTTTTGGTCTTGGAGTTGTATTTTTTTTTTTTTTACTTTTTTAATACATTAGTGCTATTAGTGGTGATATTTTTAATAGGATGAATCATTGTTGTTTATTTTTCCATGGCAGTGTTTGGGAAGCTATGGGGCAGGCTAGTTTAGCCTCAAGTTTAAAAAAAAGCCATCTAAGCATATTTAACTGCTAAAAATACAGCTAGTGCTCTTATGTCACTTATTAGAATATTCTCAACAACAGTGGTTAAAAGTAAACTAATTTGGGTCCATTGACACATTTAACTATTTTTCAATAATTATTTCACAGTTCCCAATCACTAATTTATGTTGCTTTTGAATTATGTTGCTTTTGAATTAATAAAAATAGTAATCTAACAGGAAATTACACTAATTTTTCACCCATTAACTTTCATTTTGATTTCTTAACTCGTAATTTGAATAGATTGAACCTCACATTTTGACTTATTTTGAGAAGCAAGTTAAAAGTTAATTTTTTAATTTTTTTTAAAATTTTTATAAAAAAAAATTATAAAAAAATAGAAAAATGACGTAACCTAAAAAAATAAAAACCAAAGAGATGGCTTTAATTTATGTTGCTTTTGAATTATGTTGCTTTTGAATTAATAAAAATAGTAATCTAACAGGAAATTACACTAATTTTTCACCCATTAACTTTCATTTTGATTTCTTAACTCGTAATTTGAATAGATTGAACCTCACATTTTGACTTATTTTGAGAAGTAAGTTAAAAGTTAATTTTTTAATTTTTTTAAAAATTTTTATAAAAAAAATTATAAAAAAATAGAAAAATGACGTAACCTAAAAAAATAAAAACCAAAGAGATGACTTTTAACTCAATTGCCAAAATAGGCTCCTCTTTTTTTTTTCTTTTTCTTTTTTTTATCTCATTTCAATGTAAAACAAGGGTAAATTATGCTTAGTACCATGCATTTTCACTAAAATCTCATTTTAATTCCTTTATTTTTAACTATATTTTAAATCAAATTCAAATCTCACCCTACCAAAATTACAAATTTAATCAATTTCAAATATGAAACGCTTCTTTTCCCCCCATAAACAATTGTAAGTCATAATTATAATCAATATTATTCCATACAGAATCGATACATTTGGAAAACAACTATTAATTAATTTTAAATAATTCATCACATTAATAAGCTTTTCAATTTTTTTTAAAGTTATATTATATTTGTTAAAAAAAAGAAGCTATAATTATAATTTTCAAACAAACTATTCATTTAAAAAAAAATAACAAAACTACATAACTATAATTATCAAATCAATTTGATTTTTTTTATGAATGATCTATACATAAAACTCAACAAAATAAACGATTTAAATGATCGAAACAAACTCTGTAATAAGCTCATCAAGCCCAATAATATTGGAATAGAAATAAACCTTAGTCTTATCATAATTTTTAAGCTTAATATTCCATTTATTATTTTGCGATATTTGGAAAGTTAGTTAAAAGCTAACTTTTAACTTTCGACCCATTTTGAGTTATATCATTTCTTACATTTTTTACATACAAAAAGACAAAAAAACTCAAAAAAAATCAAAAAATCAACTTTTAACAAATCTCCAAATCAGATCTAGTGCCTATGCGATGACTCCATAATTATTATTTTTTTCTTAAAATACATTATGCTCCCTTTGTTTCAAAATATTACTCCTAATTCTTTTTCTTTTTTTGTCTCAAAATATTAATTAATTTTCAAAAATCAATGACTAAAATAACATGAATTTTCTATTTTACCATCTCTTAAATTTATTAACATTAATAGTTTTGAAATGTAACAATTTTACTATCAAGAGATAGTCTTAAAAAGGGGGTATTTTTAAAGTATAATAATCATTTATCAAAAGAATTTAGATTTTGAGACGGAGAGAGTAAGAAAAAATTATTAAATAATTTTAACTTAGGCCTCGTTTGAGAAGTGATCGGTTTAGTTAAAAAGTCAAAAAGTTACTAAAAAAATTAAAAAGCTAATAACCCATACCAAAATATCAAAGATTCATTTTTCTCTCTACTTTTTGTATATCTTTTCGTAAAAGTTAAAAAGTCATCCCAAACATACTAGTTTTTTTTACATCATATTTTAGCCAAAAAATCAAAAAATTACTAAAAAAACTTGTTCTCAAACGAGGCCTTAGTTACCAAAATTATATTAGGACTCTTTGGGAAGCTGGTAAAAAATTAATTTTTTAATTTTTTTGACTTTTTTGAATCACATCACTTCATTATTTTTTACATAAAAAATCAAAAAAGTCACCAAAAAAAAATCAAAAAACTAACTTTTTATCAATCTTCCAAAACACCATTACGTAATATTTCAAAATTACATGTAATAATTAGGGGGATTTGGTGGAAGCTGACCAAAAAAAAATAAAAATAAAAATTGTGACACTTCCACTCTCATAATTTTTTATTTGTAGACACTTCTACTCCATATATTTATAATTTTTTTTTTCAATTTTTACCTGCATATAATGCTAGAGATCATAAAAAAATTATCATGAAAATGATCATGTAAGATTTTGTACCCTTAGATTACGTATACAATAAAATATCACACACTAATTAAAACATGAAAAATTTTCATAATATATATCAGTATATTTTTTTTCATGGTCTCTAAGTATTATTCGCATCTAATTGTCCCTAATAATTATATGATATTAACAAGTTTTCTTCCCCTATAAATACAGAGACTGCCCAAAGCCATAGCCACCATAATTCTGAAACAGAACAGAGCTGTAATCTCTTTTGTCTCGATCTTTCTCAAATTTTGAGCCTCAATTTGATTTCATAGCCATGGCTCCAGTGTTTGTATCTCCAATCAATGTTGGGCACATCGACGATGTCCAAGAACTCAGGAAGTCCAAACTCACTTCCATTCCTCAGAGGTTCATCCGCGACATAGCCGAAGACCCTTCACTCTCCACACTCACTCCTCCATCACCATCATCAAAACCATCATTCACCGCCATACCTGTTGTTGATTTATCAAAACTAACCCAAAACACCCAACTTTCAAAGCTCGCTACTGCCTGTCAGGATTGGGGATTCTTTCAGGTATTTTATATATATATATATATACACATACATATAAACTCTGAGATTACAAAAATGTTACGTACTCAGAAAAGAAAAAAGAAAAAATATTTAGAATTTGAAATATACCGATCAAATTATTGAGTGGAGATTTATTAAAATTGTATAATGAGGTATTACGGTAATATGTTAATGTAAATCCAAACATATATATTATTGTTATTTTCACATGCAGTCGCATTTTACATTTTTTAAACGGTGCATGTTGAGAACCTTGTTGAAATACGTAAATTTGTGTATATATATATATATTTTTTTATGGTATTTTTTGGGGGGCAAATTATAAAAAAAACCTTAAAGTTTGATCTTTATAATAAAATAAATTCTGAATTTTTAATTTTATCAATTTAAATTTTTAATTTTTATTTATTTTCTATTTAAATTATTTATTTATTTTTATTAAATAAAATTAATAAAAAAAAATAAGTGTTTTAGTTATTAAACTCAATAAAAAAATTATATTTTAGATATTTTATTAATACTTATGTTGAATTTAATGATTAAAAAAATAATTTTTTTTGTTGATTTTACTTAAATAAATAAATAAATAGTTTAAATTGAAAAGAAATTAAAAGATTAAAATTTAAATGAACAAAATTGAAAATTTATTTTGTTATAAAACACAAATCTTGAGTTTTTTTATATAATTGTTCGCATATTGATTATGGTAATCTGTTAATGTAAACCCTAACATATATATTACTGTTTTCACATGCGGTGGCATTATACCTCTTTCTAAGCCGTGGATGTAGAGAATCTATTTATGGTGCTTTTATTTTTTGTGGAGAAAAGTTAGGAATTATGAAAAAAATTTCATGAAAATGATCATGAAAGATTTATGATGCTTGAATTACCTTGATTAGCGTGTGGTGCTTTACTCTAAGTGTAATCCAAGGATCACAAAACTTTTATGATTATTTTCATGAAAGATTTTTCATGATACCTAGTTGTTTTTTGTGTGATTGATTTTCACTTTTTTTTTTTTTTTGGGTACAAAGCATAGTAATGCTGAGATTGATTATGGTGATGGAAACTAATGAATTTTAACTGTTTGTGGAAATGGGTAGGTGATAAACCATGGGATCGATCCGGGTTTGCTTGAGAGGCTAGAGAAGGTGTCCATGGATTTCTTTATGATGCCTTTGGAGGAGAAACAGAAGTATCCAATGGCGCCAGGGACAATTCAGGGATATGGACAAGCTTTTGTGTTCTCAGAGAACCAGAAGCTTGACTGGTGCAACATGTTTGCACTTGGAGTGGAGCCCCACTCCATAAGAAACCCAAAACTGTGGCCAACAAAGCCAACCAAGTTTAGGTAAGGTAGTACCATATTGATGGGTTTTTTTTTTTTATGAAAATTTATTGATGGGTTTGTTTGTCCACAATCCTTTGACCCGATTTGGTTGTGTTTTCGCTTTCTTTGTTTTTTTGTTCTTGGAATTATAAGTAATGAAAAATTTGAAAATACCTTTCGTTTAGTATCATTTCTCATTTTTGTGCAAAAAAGGTTCTTGAATTTTTTTAAATGACTTTTTTGAGTTATTTACACTAATGTCCTCAAAATATGAGATATGTTTATAATACTTTACTCCCTAACATCAGCAATCAATAATGGGAGGTGCAATATTTTCGAAATTTGACATGAAGCTTGAATAAAATCAAAAGGATCAAATACACAAGCTTTCTAAAATATGCATTTTGGACCCCAAAGTATGCACTTTCTTCCGTTTTGGTCCCCAATTTTTTAATTTTGTTACATTTTATTTTTTTGTAAAGTTTTCAAAATACCCGCAGATGACAGGGACTAGAGTCTAATAGATTGCATATTTTAGGGACCAAAGTGAAAATAAAAAATTTGCATTTTTTGGAAACTAGTAGTGTAAACTTTTTTTAGTGCTACCCAATTTTGAGTAAAAAAGTAAAAAAGTATTCCCAATTTAGATCCCATTGGATAGGGGTCTGAAAGGGGCAGTGGGTTGTTTAAATATTTTATTTAATTTTTTTTTTTAAGAAGTGAAAACAAAGAATAGAAAACAAAAACACAAGGTATTTTTTCCATTTATTTTTTTGTTTTCTTGCAGTGAAACTGTGGAGGAATACTCAAGAGAGATAAGGGGACTGTGCCAAAAGTTGCTTAGTTTTATAGCTACTGCCCTTGGGCTGAATAAGGACACTTTTGAAGAGAAGTTTGGGGTGGCAGTGCAAGCTGTGAGGATGAACTACTATCCACCATGTTCTAGACCAGACCTGGTTATGGGTCTAAGCCCTCATTCAGATGGGAGTGCCCTCACAGTACTGCAGGAAAGGAAGGGCAGCCCAGTAGGCCTCCAAATACTCAAAGACAATAAATGGGTGCCTGTTCAACCTATTCCTGATGCACTTGTGGTCAACATTGGTGACACCATAGAAGTACGAAATCAGAATGTTTTTGTTTTTGTGATTTTTTTTTCTCCCAGCAATGCTGTGTCCGGAAAAATACTCAAAATTTAAAATTTGTAGATCAAATTTAGGGCTGGTTTGGCAATTGTTTTCCTTATCTACTTTTATAGTTTTTTAAACACCTGTAAAAGTGCGTGTGAATCTTGTTAAAAAAAATATTTTCCTCAATTGTTACTTTTTTTTTTTTTTTTTTTTTTTTTTTTTTTTTTTTTTGGTGGAAACAAAAAGTAGCTAATTTATCACAAACTAAACAGAGCCATTATGGGGTTAATCTACATGACCAAGTTTAAATCTGCACTACAGATTTAAATTCTGAGCACTTCTTTGGGTACATGACTTTTTTTTATATATATTTTATTTTAAAATTTATTTTTGGCAAAAACATTTTGGGTGTTTCTGATCTTGAATCCAACAGGTTCTAACTAATGGGAGATACAAGAGTGTGGAACACAGAGCAGTGACTCACAAGGACAAAGACAGGCTCTCAATTGCCACATTCTACGCTCCAAGTTATGAAATAGAGCTTGGCCCAATTCCAGAATTGGTGAATGAGAACAGTCCTTGCAGGTACAGAAGGTACAACCATGGAGAGTACAGCAAGCACTATGTCACTAACAAGCTTCAGGGCAAGAGAACTCTGGACTTTGCCAAGATTAATCCCACAAACTCATCATAAATGGTTAGATTGGAGGGTATCCATCCACTTAATCTTCTGTTCCTAATTTGTTCTGTTTCTCTGTCTCAATAGACTGACATGAAAAATATAAGTTCCTCAGTCCATAGAAGTTGAATATTTTGACAAAGCTGGGGTCTTGTAGTAATATAATTTATATATATATGGATGGTACTGTTTATGTGTAAACTCAAATCTATGTAATTAATTAATGGAAGCTTGTTGTGGGGTCTTTGTGTGAATGCTTTTGTCATCAAATTTGTTGTGTTTTTGATAACTTTATTCAAAACAACACCTCTAAATTCTAATGAAAAGCATCAAACAGAAGGAAATATCACTTATACTGTTCTCTCTATCAGATTCCTAATAAGGAAAGAAAAACACGCAATCATGGGATTGAACCCAACACCACCTCCACCACTTGTTTCTTTAAGAATCTTTCACAAAATTGGTAATTAAACTAATCATGGGTTTTCATTGTTCAGGAGACAATGGTAAATACATACAAGTTTTATATAGAATGATGTATCGATGACATTTTATAATGGAAAAAAGCTTATGATGTTTAGCTGATATTTCTAAAACTTTATCTCTAAATTTACTCTAATGATTTGGATTGTTATATGTCAATTTTTGATTTGTGTAGGAATCAAGTAAAAGAATGAGAGCAGAGAGAAGAAACGTGAGAGAGTGAGAAAGCGAGAGAGAAGTGAGAGAGACAACAAGGATACATCAATTTGACAAATTCTATTACTTAAGCTCTCACTATATTTCTCTTATGAAAGAACTAAACAAAATATTATAAGTAATATGTAACTTCGAGTATCCGATACTTCAAAATTAATAAAAAATTAATTAAGAAGTATCTGATACTTTTAAGAAGTATCCGATACGTATCCGCGAGTATCCGAGGAGTATCGATATCCGATAAGTATCCGATACGGATATGTCACTCTTTTTAAAGTATCCGTGCTTCATAGCCTCTAATTAAAAGCATCATACAGAAGGAAATGTCACTTATACTGTTCTGTCCATCAGATTCCTAATAAGGAAAGAAAAACACGCAATCATGGGATTGAAGAATCTTTCACAAAATTGGTAATTAAACTAATCATGGGTTTTCATTGTTCAGGAGAAAATGGTAAACACATATAAGTTTTATATAGAATGATGTATCGATGACATTTTATATTGGAAAAAGCTTATGATGTATAGCTGATATTTCTAAAACTTTATCTCTAAATTTACTCTAATGATTTGGATTGTTATATGTCAATTTTTGATTTGTGTAGGAATCAAGTACCTATAACACGACCTCCTACCGTGTTATTGTAGATGAATTTAGGGGTGATGTTTTGTATGTCTCTAATAATACCGTTTCGTACGTATGAACTACCACAATGAGTTCTTTTCATTTTCAATAAATATAAGTAAGACACATTATTTTGTATATTATTTTTATATATGAATTTTACGTGTACAACACTACCCAAGGAGCCTTTTCTCAGTGGTGATAGAGAGGAGAGCCCACAAATGATGCCCACAAATGATGCTTGTGTTTTCAGTTGTTCATATATATATTGGTGTGAAAGCACTAGCTATGCAACTTGCATGTGTTTTTGTTTCGATTCTAGGTTGAAATGACATGACAGTGGTGACAACTAGAGCACCAAACAGAGCTTAAAGACACAATGGGGGAGTGAGGTATGCAAAGGAAATAAGGTAGCTATTTTGATTGGCGGAGACATACCACTTAGATTCACCATGGCAGTAAAATAACATTTGTTTTTCAGTTGAAAGAAGCACAAAGGAAATGCTGATGCAATTGGCTCAAGTGGAAGAAACAGGGAAAATTGCCAGTCAATAATGCTAGGTATGTTATATTTGTATTGTATACTCAAATTTATTGTAAAGAATTTTTTTTTTTTGGAGATAGAAGGCCAAGATTTCTAGTTGGAGTAGTTTATTTATTGTATTTTTTGGATTTCAATGTGAGAGTGATAACATTGTAGAGTGGTTGAGTTAGAGGTTTAGAACTATATAATCTCTATTGCTATAGTGTATTTGATCTTAAAGTGATAAATAATTTTTAATATATAAATATTGATTATAATAATATTGTTGAAAGTATTACATAGCCAAACTTCAATAAAGAATACATACATCGGAGTAGAAGATGGGGATGACATATATTAATGACTAACAGCAACCACATCAATCCCCCAGCAAATGGGAACAACAACATAGGTACTCATATTTTCTAAGGACAAATTTCATCAACACTTTCTCAGAAAGAATGAGAGAAGAGAAGAAAATCATCATACTAGAATTCACCCAAAAAAATCATCACTAGTTTATTTTTCCTATTTCAATTTGGATGTTATTAGAAGAGTAATGTTATATAAATTATATAAAAAAATTTTACTCGCTAATGTGATGCATGCTATATTATTGAAATGAGTTCTTTATTGTATGACACATCAATCAATTAGTAAGAAAATTTGTTGAATTCATTAATTTTTTTTTTTTTAAAGATAGGGGACATTTTTATTTTATTTTATTTTATTTTTGTTGCTAAAATAGAGATAATGTTAGAATCTAAGACCAGTCTTAGATAGTGCATTCAGGATTTGTATATGTGCAGATATGAGAGTGAATCTAAGACAAGTCTTATTTGCATTCTACTAATTTATAAATTTTATTTTTTTTCTATTTATCTTATATTTTCTCTAAATGAGTATATTAAAAAATGGATAGGAATAATATCAATAGAAGATAAATTGAGAAATAATAAATTGAGATGGTTTGGTCATATACAACGAAAAGTAGGTTTTAAAAAGCGGCCGCAACCATTACGCAATGCCATTACGTAACGATTGTGGTGGTTATCGTCACCCGTTACGGCCGTTATAGCGGTGTGACAGAAATTCACATGTGTAACGGCTACTTTGGTGTTACGTAACGGCTGTAGCGGTACCATAATGACCGTAACGGTCCGTTAGATACCATTACACCCTTTTACAATATTTTAAATAGCTTCTTTTTCCTTAAAAAAAAAAAAACAAAATTTTAAAAAAAATGAACAAATACAGGTGATCCAAACCTAAAGAAAAAATCTTACATTACTTTTTTTAAAAACTACTTTGGTGTTACGTAACGGCTGTAGCGGTACCATAATGACCGTAACGGTCCGTTAGATACCATTACACCCTTTTACAATATTTTAAATAGCTTCTTTTTCCTTAAAAAAAAAAAACAAAATTTTTAAAAAAAATGAACAAATACAGGTGATCCAAGCCTAAAGAAAAAATCTTACATTACTTTTTTTAAAAAAATTTATGGCACAATTTTTATTTTATAATCATTTCATTTAATAATTATGAATATTTTTTATTAAGTTAGTTTAGGTATTCGTAAAAAATAATTTGTAAACATTTAAAATCAATTATTCTTAAAACCATTAACTATTGAAATAAAATGTAAAAAACTCATTTTATAGTGATTTTAAAATATGAAATATATTGGATCATACTTAAAAATTAACAAAAATTGATTAAAATTTATTTTAAACCTTAATAAATGTGATTCGAAAAAAAAAGAGCGTATCAGTAAGTTTTCTTCAAATTATGCAAAACATTAAAAAATCTCACGGTTCCGGTTGCCGCAACCGTTACACTACGGCCTTTACACCCCGCAACTGCTACCACATCACCGCAACCGTTTTTCAAAACCTTAAACGAAGACCAATAGAGGCAGTAATGAAGAGATGTAATATAGTGATGGTAAATGGTAGTGTTAGGGGAAAAGATAGATCTAGATTGACGTGAACTAATATAGTAAATGGAGATATAAATCTCTTTAATTTGGCTAACGAAATAGCCTTGGATAGAGTCAAGTAGAGAATAAAAATTTATACAGTAGACCTTATTTGATGAGACTTAGAAGTGTTTTAGAAAGATAATTAAAAGCTATTTTTTAACTTTTTAAACTTTTTTTATAAGAAAAAAAAAAATTAGAAAACTGAATAGTGACTTTTAATCCACTTCCAAAATCAGCCTTAATACCGGGTTTGGTTTGGTTGTTTGATATTTTCCGAGGGGAAATAACATGTCAGTGTCTTGACTATGGGCCATGGGCCCACACAAGTGCTGGAACCCATGTTTGAGTAATAAAAAAAAAAAAAAAAAGGCCCCCTTTTGACTCTCTATTTAACTTGACAGCCCACTTACCGCTCTCATCAGCTAGTTTACACATTACTTGTGTATAATTTATAATTAGATTTGATAATTATGACAATTATTTGAAGTTGTTGAAGAAAATTAAAATAATTTATAATAGTTATTATGTTATGAGGATATCCTTGAGAATTTATTTTTGTGACATTTACACTGAAAGAGATATTTATTTTATATATTAGTATAGATGTGGTTCCTACACTTTGCTACCACCATTGTACACTTGTGGTGAGAGCTTTACCTAAAAACTAACTTTTCTCTTGAAAAACCCCTTTTTGTCCCCTAAAAAAAATTATAAATCAGTAGAAAATAGAGTAAGTAATTATAAATTCATGAAAATATAAATAGTAATTATTTGCCCCTTTTACTTATTTGCAATTATTTATTTTTTATCATAGTAATATTCAAAGTTTTGTTATGATTAATTTTTAAATAGATGTAATCTTCTATCCTATACATATTAGATATTTACTGAACATAAACGATTAGATTAATTTTGAGAAAGAGTGAAAAGTGGACGTAAAACCTCTCTTGCTTAGGTCATAGGACCATTGTTCAACATCTTAGGTAATTTTTCTTTTTTTCTTTTTAGGATTCATTTGAGGAGAGTGATCTCATCAAATGGGACACCAAGAGAAGAGAGAGGCCTTGAGAAACTTTTATTAGTTGCATATGCCAAACACTTCAAAAAAAAATTAAAACAATGATAGTGTGAAGAAAACTTTTCAAGAAATTTGAACCATTCAAAGAGAAAACTTTTGCTTTTGTGGAGTTTATGGGGAACAAAGTTGCTTTGTCTGGTATATTGTTTTTTTTTTTTTTAATGGAGATTAGGATGTGAAGAGAGCCGTTGTTTTTGCTTTGTTCACTATAAAAAATATATATAATCATTTTGAGAACAAATTTGAGTTGGGCACGCTATGCTTTGCTTTGCTTGCTTACACAACAAATCCATTGAATCTTGCTTTCAACCCTTTTCTTTTTCACATGTTTTTATTTTTTATTTTTTATGTACAGTTGGGAAATACCACAAAACCTTCACTACCTTCCAAACATGTCATATATGCAAATAAGAAATATAAGAAAATAAAAAATATTATGGATCATGAAAATTTATCTAAGATTTTACTCTGAAAGGAAAAGTGTTATGTAAATTTAAAATTAGTTAAATGTGGATCACATGTAGGCCATTGATTCTTTTTGTTGAGTGCATTTTAAAATAAATTTTCTAAGTATATAACATTGCTAATAAAAAAAAAAAATTTGCCACTTTTTGATAGAATATTCACATTTTGTATAATATCTTCACTCTCAATAGTTACATAAATGTAGTATACATGTAGAGTCACCATTCCATGTCTAAGTTCAACTCTTAGTGTTAAATTTAAATTTAATTGATATAAGAGTAAGTAATTATTTGGCATTTTAAGACCATCACGAACAAGTAAAATCTAATGTTTCACGTTTCTAAAGAGGTGAAAAGTTACTTTGCATCTTAGTTTTTCTAATGTAATTAGGATCAGAATTGATAATCATAAATCACTGAATAATTTTTGCCTATTTGACCCTACCTTATCGAGGTTCTTGTCAAAGAAAAAATGATTCACCATATAAAAAATAAAAACCCAATAATAATAATAATAATATAGGAAAACAAGGATGGCAACAACCAATCAAATCTCAGAATAAGAAACCTAGCCTGTAATAATGAGAGAAAAGTTAATAAGTTGGAGAGGGAAATGGAGAGAGAGAATTTGAATTTGGAGAATTTGAATTTGGAGAAGGCACTCAAAAACTACATGGGCATTAAAAACTGTAGTAAAAATAAAACAAAATAATATACGCAACAGAGAGAGACAGAGAGTAACCTACACCTATTATCCCTCACATCTATTTTCTCAATTTCTTTTTGGAGAATTTATTGAGATTTTTTTTTTCAAATACTTATAACCCACTTAATTTATAATATATTTTTATATTTTAATAAATTTTATTATTTAAACGTTTAATTGACTAAAAATTAATTTTTATATTTAAGATATTTTATAAAAAAAAAAAACTTACTCTTAAAAAACAAAATTTACGCTTGACAATTTGATAATGTAAATATTATATTTTATTTATATGTAGATGTTCATATTAATAGTATGAATATTTACATCACGAAACATTCACATTATTAATGTAAATATTATTATTAAGAATATTTTAATAATTATGTCATCCATAAGAATTATTAAAACATAAAAACAAAATAATTTAAATAAGTAGATAAATAAGAATTTTCATTTTCTTTTCCTTTTTCCTTCACAAATCTCCATCCAAATTCAAGATCCAAATACAAATTCGGAGCAACCATACCAGCATTGATAAAAGCATGCATCATTTATCACTCATGTTTAACCATATCATGATCAGTATACAAAGTCTCCATAAATTAAACATTCAAACACTCTAATTGTTTTGTGTATTTTGGGATGAGAGAGAGAGAGAGGGAGAGAGAGAGCAAGCGTAAATTGAAACATGGACTGCAATAATACAATGGTAAGAAACTGGATGGCAACAGCTGTGCACAAGAAAGCTTTACAGAATAAATTACAATCTCTCCTTACATGAGCAAGTAAGCTGACATAACCAAAGAACAAGTACAACACAGTAGTGAGGATTGCACTTATCAGCCCATAAGAGAAGCTGGATCATCTCACCGGTGCATTGAAACACAACTTTCAACTACAACTTTCCCCCCAATAAACCGGCAATTTTACTTACTGTCATCGCCAGGCTTCAGGGGGCAGAATGTGTCTCGAGCTCCTGGGCTTAGGCAATCTTCAAAAGGAGTCACTCAGATAGTGGCAAGATTTAGGCTTAGTTTGGGAAGACTAAATAAGTGTACTTTTTGACTTTTTATGAAATATGGGTTGAGTTTGGGTTGGGTTTAAAGTGATGTGTTAGAGAGGTGATGTGACTTAAATAAGATGATGTGACTTAAATAGGATAGTGACTTTTTGACTTTTTATCTTTTTTCAATCATGCCAAACTTGGCGAGTAGTTTGTGAGCTCAACTTCACCACCACGTTCTGATCAGCTTTTGTTGCTGCTTGCAGCACCAATGCAAAGCCAAGTTCATCCACCTATGAAGCACGGATACTCCGAAATGGCCCCGTACGCGTATTGGATATGTATTGGATACAGATACGCGCCCGATACAGCGGGATACGTATTAGATACGGAAAATAAAGTATCTAATTTTTTTTAAAAAATTTTGAATTTCGGATACATCTAGGATGCGCGAGGATACGGTCGGGATACGGTATGGATACGACGGGGCAAAAAAATAATTTAAAAAACTTAAAATGGGGTCAAAGTATAAAATATGAAAATAAGATAAAATAAAACACAAAAAAAAAATAAAATAATAATCAACCAAACTTACCTGACCTAGGTCGATCAGCAGCCGCGAAGGAGGAGGAGGAGGAGTTCGTCGTCGTCTCTCGTCTCGAACAGCAGCTCGACGATCGTCGATCAGGTTTGTCCCTCTCTCTCTCTCTCCCTTTCGCTCCCTCTGTCTGCCTCTCGCTCGATCTCACGAACTCTCTCTCTCTCCCTCTCGCTTGATCTGTCTGGTCTGGGTGGACATGGACAGATCTCGATCTCATCTCCCCCCTCTTGGTCGATCTCTCTCTCCCTCTCCCTTTTATCTATGTCGTCTGTTTTGCATATTTATTTTTATTATTTTATTATTTTTTATTTTTTGTATGTATACTCTGTAAATAAAATAAAATAAATCAACTAAGATAAAAAAAAAAACTTTGTATATGTATTCGGTATTACCTGAATCCTGATAAAACAAAATAAATCAAATAAGGTAAAAAAATTTATTAATAAATAAATAAATAAACTTATTAAAAATAAACTTTGTAAACTTATAAAATTATAAACTTTGTAAACTTAATCTTGGCCATCAATAAATAAATAAACTTATTGATAAATAAATGAACTTTGTAAATTTTTTCCTCCTTAATTTGAATATTGCATTATGATTGTTATGGGTGATGCTATATTGTTGAAATTCAATTGAATTGATGAATTTTTTGTTATGAGTGATGCATTATGGTTATTATGGGTGATGCTACATTAATGTTTTATTTTATTTGTTTACCATAATTTTTAGGAAATGAGTTCGGGTACAGGAAGTTTAGGTTCAACAAGTGATACACCAATGGAAGAAGATGATCATGCTCCTCTTTGGTGTTATGTTACAAAACTAGAAAAAATGGGAGAATGAGGTGGTAATACTAGGTTTAAATGCAATTACTGTCAAAATGAGTACAAGGGGTCATTCTTTAGGGTCAAGGCACATTTGTTAAAACTTTCTAGCAATGGGATTAGATTGTACCCCAAAGTCACTCCGCAACACCTTGCTGAAATGCAAAGGAAAATTGAAGAAGTTGAGAAAAGGTTAAAAATGACTATGCCTAAAAAAGTTCCTTTACCACCTTCCACCCAATTAAAAAAGTGACTCCCCTTATGGGAGCATCAGAAGCTGGGGCAATGTTCTTGAAAGTTGTTAATTGTGAAGGTGAGCATAAAGACAAGTTTTTTATTTCCAACTTAATTAGTCAAGCAATTGAAGAAGTTGGACATCAGAATGTCATTCAAGTCATTATAGAAAATGCTCCCGTGTGTAGTGCAGCTGGTTTACTCATTGAAAGTAAGTACCCGAATATCTTTTGGACACCATGTGTAGTTCACACATTGAATCTTGCTCTTAAGAACATTTGTGCTCCAAAAGAAACAGGGGGTACTGCTTTTGTTTATGATGAATGTCACTGGATCACACTTTGTGTTGATGATGTGATGTTTATCAAAAACTTCATCATGAACCATTCCATGCGGCTAGCTATTTTCAATGAATTCGTACCCTTGAAGTTGCTTGCTGTTGCAGACACATGTTTCGCATCTGCCATTGTCATGCTCAAAAGGTTTAAACTTGTAAAGCGTGGCCTCCAATCAATAGTTATTAGTGACCAGTGGGTTTCTTACAAAGAAGACGATGTTGGGAAAGCAACATCTATGAAGGAAAAATTATTGAATGATGTGTGGTGGGATAAGATTGATTACATTTTGTCTTTTACATTGCCTATCTATGAGATGCTTAGGTTTTGTGACACTGACAAACCATGCCTTCACTTAGTCTATGAAATGTGGGACACCATGATTGAAAAGGTGAAGGCAAGCATCTTTAGGCATGAAGGGAAGCTAGATCATGAGGAATCAATCTTTTATTCCATTGTGCACAATATACTAGTTGAGAGGTGGGCCAAAAGTAACACTCCTCTTCATTGCCTTGCACATTCTTTGAATCCAAGGTAACAACTTAATTCATATTCTTACTAATTAGATTTCTTTGTTCACATTTGTCTTTCAATATGAATAACATAATTTAATATTGAAACTTTCTAATGTTGTAATCTAGGTATTATAGTTCAACGTGGCTTGATGAAAATCCCAATCGTGTCCCTCCTCATAGGGATGAAGAAATTTCAAGTATGAGAAACAAGTGCTTCAAGAAATACTTTCCAAATTTAGAGGAGAGAATGGTTGTCAATGTGGAATATGCCAAGTTTTCAAGAGGTTTGGATATGTTTGGAGATTTTGACTCAAAGATTGATAGAGGAGTATTGGATCCACTTATTTGGTGGTTTACAGATGGGTCTCCTGCTCCTATGCTTCAATCTTTACCATTAAAATTGCTTGGCCAGCCATGTTCCTCATCATGCTGTGAAAGGAATTGGACCACCTACTCCTTTATTCACTCCATGAAAAGAAACAAAATGACACCACAACGTGCTGAAGATTTGGTTTTTGTGCACAACAATCTTCGTCTCCTATCAAGGAGAAGTCAACAGTACATTGAAGGAGAATCTAAGTTATGGGATGTTGGTGGAGATGCTTTTGATTCATTGGAGGGTGCAGGCTTACTTGAAATTGCAAGCCTTTCTCTTGATGAACCAGATATGGAAGCTGTGATATTCACTGATGAAGGGGAACAAGTTGAACCTATTGATGTTGAAGACTCTTAGTTCATAGGAATCTCTCTTTTTTTATCAAGTTGTCTTTTGTTTTAAGTTTTATTTTTATGTATGCTACATTACTAAAAATTGTTGAAGTTTTATTTTATGTATGTTACATTACTAAAAATTGTTGAAGTTTTATTTTATGTATGTTACATTACTAAAAATTGTTGAAGTTTTATTTTATGTATGTTACATTACTAAAAATTGTTGAAGTTTTATTTTATGTATGTTACATTACTAAAAATTGTTGAAGTTTTATTTTATGTATGTTACATTACTAAAAATTGTTGAAGTTTTATTTTATGTATGTTACATTACTAAAAATTGTTGAAGTTTTATTTTATGTATGTTACATTACTAAAAATTGTTGAAGTTTTATTTTATGTATGTTACATTACTAAAAATTGTTGAAGTTTTATTTTATGTATGTTACATTACTAAAAATTGTTGAAGTTTTATTTTATGTATGTTACATTACTAAAAATTGTTGAAGTTTTATTTTATGTATGTTACATTACTAAAAATTGTTGAAGTTTTATTTTATGTATGTTACATTACTAAAAATTGTTGAAGTTTTATTTTATGTATGTTACATTACTAAAAATTGTTGAAGTTTTATTTTATGTATGTTACATTACTAAAAATTGTTGAAGTTTTATTTTATGTATGTTACATTACTAAAAATTGTTGAAGTTTTATTTTATGTATGTTACATTACTAAAAATTGTTGAAGTTTTATTTTATGTATGTTACATTACTAAAAATTGTTGAAGTTTTATTTTATGTATGTTACATTACTAAAAATTGTTGAAGTTTTATTTTATGTATGTTACATTACTAAAAATTGTTGAAGTTTTATTTTATGTATGTTACATTACTAAAAATTGTTGAAGTTTTATTTTATGTATGTTACATTACTAAAAATTGTTGAAGTTTTATTTTTGTGTATGCTAC